CCTGTCCGAGGCCACCCCGGGTGAGCCCTACAGAGAGAGGGCTTGTGTGGATTAGGTTTCCTGGCGCCTGAGCTGGATCCAGAGGTCACACCGCAGAACCTGTGCTGAGGCACCTGCCCTTGGTGGCTCTTTCCTTCAGACACTCCCCTGGCGTCCTCTGGGCCCGGCACTGTGCTGTGCGTCTGCGGTCCAGCAGGACGCGGGATGGGAGGGCACAGCCGTCACCCTTTCTTGCTTCTTTCATCTCCTGGATGGTTTCTGCATCTGTCCTAGGTGCCAGCCCCCCGCCCCACCCCTTCCCCAAAGCCCCACTGCTAGGGTGCCTCATTTGGGGTTCACACACGGGGAATTGGCCCAGGCTCCCCCAGTCTGAAATCCGAGGTTGGTTGATGGGACCAGGAGACAGCGAGCTGGCTCAGAACACTGGAGACGGCACCAGGTCGGGCCCAGCAGGGCTGGCCGGGACATGCCAGGGGCTTTGGGGCCCACCCTCTCTCTTATCGATCTTCCCACTCAGCCAGTTGACATTTCTAGCTGCAGGTCACAGAGGTGGCTTGTTGAGTCTAGGTTCACCTCTGCTTTCTAACTGGCTGCAGGCCTGGAGCTCCCTGCCGAGGAAGTCTGAGTCTGGGGGCCTGCACCCCTCTGTCCTCAGCGGGCGGCGACTTGTCTCTGCCCCCCATCACAGGCTTCACTGCGGAAGGCTGGTTAGTCGCAGGCAGGAGGGGGCAGCTCTGGACGGCGGCCCAGGCCAGGACACTCTGTCCTATGACAGAGAACCGTAGAGAAAGGGAGAAAGACCATGAGTACCACCCGTGGCTTCTTGGCACGCCCCTGGTCTCCAAGAACTGTATATGCTCCCTCTCACCCCAAAAGGGGAGCTCCCTGTTCGGCGGTGGGCTCTTCCTAGCCACAGGCCCTGCACTCCCCTCCTCATCCTGATTGGCCTGGGGCGGGTGGGCAGGGGGGTCTGTTGTGCCCCCCGGTGACCTTGCATTCCTGCCCTGCCTTCTCGACAGTGGTGTGCTGAGCTCCATTGGGAAGATCTTCAAAGAGGAGGGGTTGCTGGGATTCTTCGTGTACGTGAGTCTGTAGCACACACACACACACCCCTCCACCCCCAACTGCAGGGCTGGCTCTGCTAACAGGCATACGCTCGACCTCTTCCTCCCAGATGAGCCCCAGGGCTCTGCAGGGTGACAGGGTTCTGTAGTGCCCCCGATGTGTCCCAGCTACAGGTCATTAGAACTAAAGCCACCCAGCCACTTCCAAGTCATGGCTCTCATAAAAATGACTTTGTCCAGCACCGGGGAGAGGGACTGACCAGACTCGCCAGGCCCTGTCCACTCACCCCAGCCCAGGGGTGGCTGTGGCCGCCGGGCTTTGTGAGCTGGGGTATAACCCGTATAACCTTACTGCTAAACAGGACTGAGAAGCTGTGGCCGGGACTGAGGGCTGGCAGCTCTTGGGCCAGCTCCCGCTGGCAGACCCCAGCTCACCTCGTTTCTAACACACCAGTTGTCAACATTGAAGATTTGGGGGTAGTTTACACACACATCCATCTGTCTGGCTTCTCTTGGAAAGTCAAAAAGCCTGCTCCCCCTGGGCCGGTGTTTCTGCAGAGTGGTGTTGACCTGGGACAGGGTACGTGGCTTCCCGGTGGCCACAGGTCCCCAGACCCCTAGTTCTCTCCCCTCCAACTTAACTCCTCGTGGCAAGGAAGCTCCTTCTCCGGAGACGATGTAGGTAGGCACCGGCGTCTAAACCCAGAAGCCGAGCGGGGTCTCCACGTTGACTAATGTCTGCGCCGTGGTTCTCAGTGTGCCAGATGTTGTTGTTTACGGCACCCATGTAACCGAGAAATGCTGTGCACATGTCGGCTGTGGCTATGCTGCTTCTCAGTGAGAGGTGACAGTTGGCGCCTGGAGACCTTTTTGGCTGTCACAGCCCTGGAGGGTGCTGCCGGCATCTGCTGAACACCCTTCAGCGTACACAGTGAACTCCGCTCCCGACCCACTGCCACCAAGTCCGTGCCGACGCGTGGCGATCCTATAGGACAGGGTACAGGTCTGCCCCTGTGAGGTTCCTAGTTAACTCTTTACAGGAGGAGCTAGCCTGTCTTTCTCCCCCAGAGCAGCTGGTGGTTTCGAACTGCTGGATATGAGGATCCAAGCTTAGCTCAAAACCACTACGCCACGAGGGCTCCCTACAGCAATTAACTGCCTCCGGCCCATGTCAATGATACTGAGGTTGGAAAAAGTCCTAATTTAATAGACATGCACACACACAGCACAAGTTCTGTGTCTGTACATAAATGGTGTCAAGGGCTATAGAGTTGGTTTTTCGACTCAGTGGCTGAGGAGACAGAATATAACTGCCCCACCTGGGCTTCCAGGCCGGCATCTTTCTGGGGTCTGGTCATCAGGGCTCTCTCCCCTGGAGCCTCTGGCTGGGTTTGAACTGCCACCTAAAGGTTAGTGGTCAAGTGCAGAGGACTTCCAGTGTCCAGGGACCCACCTTGACCCACTTGTGCCATCAAGTCCGCTCTCACTCGCAGCACTCCTGCAGGACAGGGTCGGACTGTCCCTGTGGATTCCAAGCCAGTAGCTGTGGGTGGGAGCAAAAAGCCCTGTCTTTCTCCCACGGAGAGGCTGGTGGTTCCAAACTGCCAACCTTGCAGTTAGCAGCCCAACATGTAACCACTGTGCCACAGGGCTCCTCCTTAGAGATAGAACTACGTCCAAATCAATACGTGCCCGTGTCCCTGGATGGTGCGCCCGATTCTCCACCTCTCATCTGGTGTGTCCATAGTACAGGAGGCACCCCCGCCTTCTGGGTCCGCCCCCACTGGGGCCCTGCCCCTATTTTTCAGGCAGGTGGTGGGTGCACATGTTCAATCACCAGTCCGTCTGAGCACAGGGGCCCACACCTGTGCCCGCCTGGCAGCGTTAGAAGTGCGCTGGGGGAGCTTCGTTCAGTTCATGATCCCCAGAGTGTGGGATGGCCCGCGTGGCAGGGGTGCCTTACAGTCTTTTGAACGTTTCAGACATTTCATGGGAAGATGTTTTAATCAGCCAGAAATAATGGTGCTTCCTTACCCAGGAGACAACCAGCGTCCCCTGGGGACCCTTCCCAGGCACCGCAGACCTAAGCGGGCAGATACACGTTCTGTGCGCGGTAACCATGGCCCCAGATAGGAAGCCTCCCCTAGTGGTTCAGTGAACTGTTCACCCTAAAGACTGTCCCCTTCCTGAGAGGTGTTTGGAAAAGAGGCCAGGGGAGAGCTGCTCGCATGTGGGCATGCAGTCTGCGTGCATTTGAATGATCTCAATTTGGCCATCTGAATTGCCCCACTTCCAGGGTGCTAGGGTTTGGCTTAGCGTTGGAGGAAAAGGCCTTGTGGGACCATAAAGGAATCAGAAGTGGCAAATCATGCTCCCCCCAGGAAGAAGGAGCCCTGCACCCCCCACCCACCCATGAGCTGCACACCCCCGGGGCCCTCCCACAGTGCGTGCCTTGGGTCTGCTCGTTGTTGGACTGTGTGGCCTGCGTGTGGCGCTGCCCCCCTCTCTTGCCGGCTCATCTTTGCTCACCTTATTTTTTTAGAGGCTTAATTCCTCACCTCCTGGGAGATGTGGTTTTCTTGTGGGGCTGTAACCTGCTGGCCCATTTCATCAATGCCTACCTGGTGGATGACAGCGTGAGTGACACCCCCGGGGGGCTGGGAAACGACCAGAATCCAGGTTCCCAGGTTGGTTGGAATGAGGACTTGTCCATCTTTCTGTGTTCTGTTGACTCCTGGCCGGGGTCTGGGGCTGGAGAGGGCTGGGGAGCAGTGTGGGCAGAGCTCCGGCAGGTGGCTTTGCCTCGGAGGGACAGGACGGTGGGAGAGCTGAGGCTCCGAGCTGTGGACCGGAGCTGGGAGGAGTGCAGAATTGCCCGTCTCCAGGCAGCTTTAGGAATGATCCAAGGCTACTTGAAGACAGTGACCCGGCTGGGGATCAGAAGATGAACCAGCTAATGACAATAATCTCTCACCCTTGTGTGTGTAAGGTGCTATCATGGCCTTTGACTCTCCTAGCACCCTGGTGTGGAAGGAATAAAAGCCGGCCCTCGGGCCCATTCTGGACCCCGTACGGCAGAGAACCACTGCCTTGGGTTTCCGAGGCTGTAGGCCCCAGGAGCAGACAGCCTCACATCTCTCATGGAGTGGCTGGTGGGTGTGAACCACCACCCTTGTGGTTTGCAGCTGCACCACCAGAGTGACTGGTGAAGGGGATCTCGCCAGTATCTAACGTCCCCATTTTACAGACCCACCACCACCACCCCAGTTTGGATTATCCAGTTCGTCAGCCGGGCTGAGGCTGGGTCTTTTCCCCTGCGGCCAGTCCAAGTGGCTTCCCCCAGAAGGTTTTTCTCCGCTTGTCCAGGCTCAAGCCAGTTGTGTTATCAGGTCTACACCATGGCCCTTCCCACAGGTGTGGACCCGGGCCAGGGCCAGGGCAGGTTGGTCAAAGGCAAGGTGTCTGGGGCCCTGACCAATCCCAGATAGGAGTTAGGGAGCAGTGGCGGGTTTGAGGGTCCCTAAGGGGTAGGCGGGCATTCTCACATCAGTGGTGGCCAACCCTGAGAGGCTAGCCGAGGGACCTCAGGACCTGTCTGCCAGAATCTGCTGAGGAGGGGTGCGGGTGGGGGGCTTTCACCGTCTGTGCACGTCTGGGTCTGGGCCCCTTGTGTAACAAGTCTGATTCAGTCAGGTGTGTCTGGGCCTATGTGGTGTGGAGTGCCCCCCCCCCAGCTGCTGAGAGCCTCCGCTCCAGTGCAGAGGTGACCAGCCAGATTGTGTTAGTAGATGACTTCCCAGCCCATCTGTGTAAGCAGAACTCAAGGCCCCACCCAGCCATCGGCCTTTCCAGCCCCACCCGCCCTCTGCTGGCTGCCCTTTCCCTGAGCCTGGAGGATGTGAGCTGCTGCAGGCACACCCAGCAAAGCTAGTACAGCTGGCTTGACTGGGGGGTGGGGGCAGGGACCACAGCTATCTGGGTGGGCAGGTGTTTGGTGGGGGTGGGGGTGGGCGCTGCTGCTCTGACAACAGCAGTAACAAAGTCACAGCGGTCACAGCTTTATTTAAAGCCTTTGTTCAAGTGCTTATCTGAGTGAAGCTCAGAGATACCCTGTTTCCCCGGAAATAAGACAGCGTCTTATATTAATTTTTGCTCCCAAAGATGCGCTAGGTCTTATTTTCAGGGGATATCTTATTTTTCCATGAAGAAGAATACGGTACACATTTATTGTTGGGAGGAAAAAAAAGGAAATTTATTACCTGTATCCGGTACGGTAGTAGTTGTCATCACAAACCAGCATAACCAGACAAACTGTGAATCCTACAGTATCAAGAATCTCTTGTTACTACCATTATTTCCATGTACAACAATCTATGGTACATTTACTCGCAATCTATGGTGCATTTACTCACAATCTATGGTACATTTACTCACAATCTATGGTACATGTACTCACAATCTATGGTACATTTACTCGCACTTCCTGTCTGCTCTGGCTGTGCTGCGGCGCCCGCCACTAAGGTCCAGAGTTACGGTAGCTTCGGGGGCCCTTATTATTGGGGAGGCCTTATGTTCGGGGGGAATGCCTTAGATTTCAGCGAGAGGCAAAACTAAGTCAGTCTTATTTTCGGGGGATGTCTTACTTTCGGGAAACACGGTAGCTTTATGAGTCGCGTCTGGCCCCACAAAGCCTCACAGTGGGGGGGACTCCAGGGCAGGGCCATAGGAGTGGAGGAGCTCCCTGGGATGTTGAAGGGGTGGGTGGTCACCTTTCAGGACCTGCTCCTGGCAAAGCTGAATCTCAGGAGTTGGCGTCCGAGAGGGAAGGAACTTGGTGAGGCGGGAGAGGGCAGGAAGCCCTGAGTTGGCCCTGGTCTGTCCCACAGAGCCAGGGCTCTGTCCTCCAAGTGAGTAGCGTGTGTCTGTCGTCTCGTTTACTGAGAACCAACTACACGTGCTGCACCTTGATCGAGACAGACACCACCCAAGCCCCTGGAGGCCGCCCCCTGTCCCGCCAGTAGGGTCACCTGCAGACCAGCAGTTCCGGATCCAGTCACTTGGCCCTGGCCATCCTCAGCTGGGTCCCAGAGCCCCAGCTCGGTCCCAGCATCCTACTCCTGTCTGCCCAATCCTCTGGTGGCCCTGACTGCAGGCCCTGAGGAAGGGGCAGTGTGTGCGGTGGGCATGTATAGAGTTGGGCAGGGGGTGTGGGGTGAGAGGGGAGGGGAGGGGGCCTGGGGCAGGTCAGGGCTAGGCCCACACATCTGTGGTCTTCGTCCTGACGGCCCAGGGAAAACAAGTCCTTCTGTCTCTCCAGTTCAGTCAGGCCCTGGCCATCCGGAGCTACACCAAGTTTGTGATGGGGGTAAGTCCAGTTGCCCTTCCCGCTGCCCTGCTGGCCTGGCCAGGGCGATGGGTGGTGGTGAGGTGGGGGATGGGCTTTGTTGCTGGGCAGAGGCCAGCCTAGCTGTTGGGTGCTGCTCTGTGGGATGAGGTAGGGCTGCTGGGGGCAGACTCAGTAGCACTCCGGACTCTGCTTTCAGATCGCTGTCAGCATGCTGACCTACCCCTTCTTGCTGGTCGGTGACCTCATGGCTGTGAACAACTGCGGGTAGGTTGCCAGGCTGCTGGGGGTGAGGGTGGGGGGAGTCCTGCCCTAGTCTATGTATGGGTGCCACCTGCCAGGCACCCTGGCTTCTGGCAGGATGCGCCAGGTCCTTTGGGTGGATCTTGGGTTTTAGGGCGTGGCGGTGTGGCTGTCCCGTCACCCACAGCCCCCTGGGTCTGACGCATGCTCTCCTTCCTGGGCAGGCTGCAGGCAGGGCTCCCCCCATACTCTCCAGTGTTCAAGTCCTGGATCCACTGCTGGAAGTACCTGAGCATGCAGGTAAGGGAGCTCATCCGGTTCTCCCCACCCCCACCCCCACCCCCCACTACGTCAGTCTGCAGAAATGGCTTGGAGGACTCTTCAGTGCATGCAAATGGAAGGCCTTGTCCTGGGGTCTACAGCAGTGGGAGTGGGGTGGGGGTGGGGAAAGAGAATGAGCCCTCCCCTTGTAGGCAGTCAGCTGCTCCCTCTGTCTTACTTAAGAAAGGCTTTGAGGTGGTGAAACGCAGGCTTACTTAAACATGACACATCAGGCATCACCTCCTTTCCTTGTTTGAGTTAGACCATGGAAGGGTAGGGTCTCGGCCCGTGTGGTAGGTGGTAGAAGCCCCAAAGTAACCCAGACTGAAAATAACAAGGTCTGGGACCAGTCCAGCTGAATCCTCTGGGTTAGCATAGTGGGTGGGGGGGGGATTTGGAGACTTGGGCAAGACCCCCTGGGTGCACGCGAGAACCTGGGGGGTGAAGCTAGGCACATGGTGAGCCTAACAAGGTACCATTCCTGGGGCTATGGTTTGAGCCAAAGCACCCTCCTGCTGGTGTGAGCTCTTAGGCTTCGAAGCCCAGGGTGAAGCTTTCAGCAGATCCTTCCGCTTCCCCGGTTTTGGGTGACCTCATGGCGAAGGAGCCAGCAGGCCCAGACGGACCTGAAGGTCAAGGAGAGAGTGGATGGGAAGGCAGCAGACAGTCCGGGGTCCTCCCGGTGACATGGGCCAGTTCACCCACCGTTGCATCACATTCTCCTCCTGGGGTTGAGGAGGCCCAAGACCGCTCAGGCTCTGAAGCCACCAGGGCAGTTCATCTGTGTTAGGCTGGGTTGACTGGAGAAACAAATTCAGTGACACTCGTCTATGTGTAAGAAAGAGCTTTATATCAAGAAGTCATCGTGCATTAATAAAACATCCCAGCCCAGTCCAACTCAAGTCCATAAGTCTGATCCTAGTCCATGAGTCCCTCTTCAGACTCACACAGCCACGTGCAGCGATACGGAATTCAGGGAGAACACAGGCTGGTGGGTGCAGAGTCGTGTGGATCCAGGGTTGGTGGAAACATGGCTGCTCTCAGGGTGGCCTCCAGAGTCCCAACAAGCAGGGAGGCAGAGTGGCAGAGACAGGAGGTGGTTCCCAGGGTCTTCTTTAAGAGCCGGCCACACCCCCAAGGAAGCACCACCAGGTGATTGACAGGTGGGAGTCCACCCCTACACTTTGACATATCGTCAAGTTGACACGAGATCATGGAACGGCCCCCTGACACAGGCACTGGAGTAGTCCCGGGGCCCAAAGCCGATTCAGCCCTTGCCCTCCAGAATGGCCAGCCCCCAGCCTCCCCAGGGTCTCTGAACCCCTCCCCTGACCCCAACCCCACTGTTTATCATCCACTCCAGGGCCAGCTCTTCCGGGGCTCCAGCCTGCTCTTCCGCCGGGTGTCCTCGGGCTCATGCTTTGCCCTCGAGTAACCAGAATCCCTCTCAGCAAACCAGCCATGTCGTCACAGCCCAGCCCCCCCACCCCTGGACTACCTGCAGGGCAGGCCGGCTCCCCCCAGCAACACTACATGTGCTCCGGCCCAGCAGCGCTTCTGTTTTCATATGCGCCGTGTGTCCAGAGATGGGAGGTGGGGCGAAGGAGGGTGGCCCACACCACCCATGGGTCGACTGGGTCACCTGTTAGCCCCGCGGAAGGCGGCTGGGTGGGGTTGCTGAGCCTGGCTGGGACAGCGGCCCAGGGAGCAACTGGTGAAGGCCCAGGTTGGGCGAGGAGTGAAAGGCTAACAGGGTCAGATCCCACCCCCGACGTGTACCCCGGAGTCAGCCCCACACTCAACCCTCAGCTCAGCTAGAAGCTCCCTCCCGCTTTGTAAATAAGGCCTGACACCCAGCCACCCCTCAAGAGGCCTCCGTTGTGCCCAGGCCTGGGCCAGGGGCACGTGTTCTGCCCGTTTTCCTCAACACTACTTGTCTGCCAGGAGGGCAGCACTTTGATGTGGGAATCCTGGAAGTGCTCAGGATTTCCTGGTCTGATGTACCTCCTTACAGGGATGCCCTCCCCCCATGGGGTTGGGCTGCCTGTGTGGCCAGGAATATCCAGAAGTCCTGCCAATCAGAGTCTCTGGTTCTGCCCAGTTGGACAATTCATGATGAAATTGGATCCTTTTCCTCCTCAAATAAACGTACTGTGGTGATTTGGAGTTTGATGGGTGAGTCTGTTTTTGTGAACTTAAACACATCAGCCGCTTCCTGCCAAGCTGGTGTGAGAATGTGAGCCCTGAGCTAAGACTGGTGGGGCAGACAGCGCATTCTGACTTCGAAGAGGCTGAAATGCAAGCAACCTACTAGTTCATGAAACACAGCTTTTGATCACCCTTGAGGTACACCGTGTGTGTGTGTGTGTGTGTGTGTGTGTGTGTGTGTGCCTGCGCACAGCAGCAGTGGCATGTGTGGGCTCCTGCTGTTGCCCTATCATGGTGCCAGTCCCCAGATGCCTGGGAGCCATGTGGCATAGTGCTAGAGGAGGCCTCTCCCCAATCTGATCCTCGAGGCCTTTGAAGGTGCTACCACCCACCCCCGCTCCACTTGAATTTGCTGTCTCGTTCTCAGTTTGTGCGGACACGTCTGTCCCCTCCCTGCCCGTTTGTCACAGCTTGGCCTAACTGATGGGGGACCCCACCCCCCACCCCCGTTATTTCCCAGAAGAGAATTTCTGGAGATGTTCTGGTGCCGGGTCTTGGGGGCGCCCTTCTGTGCAGGTTTCCAGAGGGCTAAGCCACGGGGGCTTCTGCTTTGACAGCAAGAGGAGCCCGGATCGTTGATTTGCTCACAAGTGCGACAAAATTGACCCCTTCATGCTAAAAACATTCAACCAGAAAGCGAAGGAACTTCCTCAACCTGATAAATGGCATCTTCCTGGGGAAAGATGGGTGTTCTTCCTGAGATCCGGGAATGTTTGCTCTTGCTGCTCTCAGTGACATGAGGACCCTAGAGGCCCTAGCCACTGCCATCGAGTGGACTCCTTACTGGGTGTTCAAGACTCTTTGTGTGGAAGGAGACAGCTCCTCTTTCTTCAGCTAATGCGCAAAGCTCCTTACTAGAGGAGCTAGTCAAAGCAATTGGGCAAGAAAATGAAATAAAAGGCGTCTGGACTGGAAAATAAGTAAATCCTGGCTGATGACATGATCTATATAGAACATCCTGACACCACTAAAGCCTGTGCCCAATTGATGATTTCAGTGAGGTTGGCAGATATAAAACCCACGTGTATATTTAAAGCTTATTTCTATGTAACGGTGAAGAATACAGCAAAATGAATTTCCTGGAACTTCCTTTAAACCATCAATAACCAAAATACTTAGGAATAGATTTTAACAAGAAATATAAAGATCGTACTCTGAAGACTGTCCAACCTTTCTGGAGGAATGAACTAATGGAAATACATGGAAATGGAATAAGTAAATAGAAAACTGATAAAAACTTACTATCCAGTTGATGCTGACTCTTAGTGACCCTATAGGACACAGTACAACTGCCCCTGTGAGTTTCTGAGACATAACGCTTTATGGGACTAGAAAGCTCTATCTTGCTGTTGGTTTTGAACTGTAGACCTTGCAGTTAAGCAGCCCTACATGTAACTTTTTTAAAAAAATCATTTTATTGGCTCGTACAACTCATCACAATCCATCCATTCATCCATTGTGTTAAGTACATTTGTTGCCATCATCCTCAAAACATTTTCTTTCTACTTGAGCCCTTGGTATCAGCTCATTTTCACCCCCTCCCTACCTGTGCCCCTCCCTCAAGAACCCTTGATAATTTATAAATTATTTTGTCATGTCTTACACTGTCCAACATCTCCCTTCACCTACTTTTCTGTTGTCTTTCCCCCAGAGAGGGGGTTATATGTAGATTCTTGTGATTAGTTCCCCCTTCCTCTTTCCCCTGGTATTGCTATTCTCATTGTTGGTCCTAAGGGGTTTATCTGTCCTGGTTTCCCTGTTTCCAGTTCTTATCTGTACAGTGTACATCCTCATTTGTAAGGTAAAATTGGGATCATGATAGTGAGGACCAGGGAGGAAGCATTAAAGAACTAGAGGAGTGTTGTATGTTTCATTGGTGCTATACTGCACCCTGACTGGCTCGTCTCTTCCCCAAGACCCTTCTGTAAGGGGATGTCCAGTTGCCTACAGATGGGCTTTGGGTCCCCACTCCGCACACTCCCTCATCACGATAGGATTTTTTGTTCTTTGATGCCTGATACCTGATCCCTTCGAAACCTCGTGGTCACACAGGCTGGTGTGCTTCTTCCATGTGGGCTTGGTTGCTTCTCAGCTAAATGGCCGCTTGTTTATCTTCAAGCCTTTAAGACCCCAGACGCTATATCTTTTGATAGCCGGGCACCATCAGCTTTCTTCACATTAGCTTATGCACCTGCTTTGTCTTCAGCAATCATGTCGAGAAGGTGAGCATCATGGAATGCCAGTTTAATAGAACAAAGTGTTCTTGCATTGAGGGAATACTTGAGTAGAGTCCCAATGTCCATCTGCTACCTTAATACTAAACCTATAAATATATGCACATAGATCTATTTCCCTATCTTTATATGTTTACATATGTACATGCCTGTATTTAGACCTCTATAAATACCCTTTGCCTCCTAGTTCCTCTATTTCCTTTTACTTTCCTCTTGTCCCACTATCATGCTCAGTCTTCCTTTGGGTTTTAGTAATTCCTCCAGGTTACATAGCCCTTGATCAAGCCCTACCAGGCCTCCTACACCCTCCTCACCATCGATTTTGGATCACTTGTTGTGCCCTTGTCCCTGGGGTTGTTAACACCCACTTCCTTTCCCCCACCTCCCCCTGTCCCTTGTCCCCATCCCCCTCCCCTGGAACCGTGGGTCCTGTTGTTTTCTCCTCCAGATCCAAGATGTAACTAGGATCCCATCCATATTCATGGGTTAGAAGACAAGGCGGCATGTTCAATGTAATTCCAGCTGGCTTTGTCTGCAGAAACTGACAAACTCATCCTAAAACTCGTATGGAAATTCAAGGAACCCCGAGTAGCCAAGACCATCTTAAAAAAGGAAAACCAAACTGGGGCACTCACACTTCCCAATCTGGAAACGAGACGGTGTGGTGCCGCCATATCAGAGACCGATGGGTGAATGGGCTCTAGAGTCCAGAAACAAATCTTCACATTCACGGTCACTTGATTTTTGACAAGGGAGCGTCATCCATTCCATGTTCTTAGAACAAATTGGCCAGTTGTGCTGGAACACCTGGACATCCACCGACAAAGGAATTAAGTTGAGCCGCTACCTGATGGCATGTACAAAATTTCACTCAAACGGAATCAAAGTGGCAGGGGCTTCGGCCCTGCTTGCTCAGGAAATGAACACAGGACCCCGCAAAACAACTTAGAAGCAAAGAACTCTGAGATCTGCCTGGAAAACCACCTTCACCTTGAAGTCAGGCCCTGGGGCAAACCCTGACAGGTCTGTACGCAAAGATCATTCCGACATATGCTGGCCCAGAGCCGCAGCTCGGGTCAATTCGAAAGAAACCATGTCTGAGGCACAAGGACAGACAGTACCTAGACAGTTGGCTTGACCATCTGCAGAGTGCCACCCCACCCCACCCCCTTTTGAAAGGTCCATATAGAAACTTGAAGTGATCCCCTGGACCATGTCCCTCCTCAACGCCAGGGGTGGATCTGCTTTGCCTCTGGAGCCAAGTGTTACCGATATCCTCCTCAACTTCCAGAGGGACCCCCGTCCTTTCTCCGGAAGGAACTTGACGCATATAAAACTAGCTTAACTCTGCGACTGTGTACATGTGTGTGTGAGTGCAGCTTACCTCCGCACCTTAACCAACCACAAGGGTCTGGAGCTTGCTAGTTCCCCATGGGGAGGAAACCGCTTGGGAGCTGAACTTCACATCTGGGAGCTCCTTTGGGACAGAGAGAGAGTCTACAGAGGTAACAGCTTTCTTCGGTCATTCATCTTTGCCTTCCGGTTTGCGTGTGGTTCCAGAGGTAAGCCGCTGGGGAATTAAAGTGTTCTCCAGCCCTATTTTGGGAGGGAGTTTTCTCTCCCTCTCTGACTCCCCCTCTTCCTGCCTCCCCCCACCCCTTTTTTATCTTCTCTCTCTCTCAGCTAGATTGTTTATGAGGCTGTGAAGGTGGGAACGATCTCCCTCTGGGCCAAAGAAACTCTCCCTCCGGGCCAAAGAAACGCAGCCCATCCTGGATTGTTTGGGTGGCTGTGAGGAGGCTTGTCCTCGTGGCCAGTCTGAAGAATAGAACAGGGAATTCCATGGTCTCTGAGTCCACATGCCCCCGGTCTGAAAATAGCAGAGGCAGGAGTCGAATCGGTTAGTGCACGCCTCTCCCATCAGGGGAACGTGAATTCTGAGACAGGTAATGAGGGTGAAACTGGCTCCGTGAGTCACGTCCAGAGAAGCTTCCATCCAAACAGCACCCGTCACATGGACCCCGAGAGGAGATGCGCTTGGCCTTTCCAGGAGTCCAGCAAGCTGGCAGGTCTCTCCCAGCTTTCTCACCCTCTCCCAGATACCTACTCCCACAGGGCCGGGTGTGTGTGTGGGGGGTGGTTCCCAAGGAAACCAGAAGGGGGGCGCCGATTGCTCCCGAGTTTTGCAACAAATTACCAGCGGCCTTGGTAGCCCTTAGGAAGGCTGTGTTGGAAGCCTCTTCCCTATTTGGCAGTTCCCCGGGGACCCTGCCAGGAACTGAGCTTCTGTGTTCCAGAAGTTTCTCTTGTTGCAGCCTTAAAGAAAGCTTACTCCGAGAGGGTGAATACTCTGCCAAGCTTGGGTTTTCCTAAGATTTTGAAAGAAGGGGCCCACGGTGGGGCGTGGACTCTGCTGAAGTTGGATTGCCTTTCTGTGGCTTGGGCCTTACACCATGAACTGCAAAACACATGATCACAGGCCCTCCCATATGGGAAGCCTGGGGAAAGAAACTCCCCGTCTGGGGCTTCTTAGGCTCCCTCCGCCCGGATTACTTTTCACTCCAAGTTGAGCCGCTTCGCTTAGTGCAGTGGTTCTCAACCTGTGGGTCGAGACCCCTTGGGGGTGGGGTGGAACGACCCTTTCACAGGGGTCGCCCGATTCATCACAGTAGCAGAATGACAGTGATGAAGGAGCAACGAAAATCATTTTATGGTTGGGGCGGT